TCCAGAAAGAGAGAGCTCTCCCAATAATAACAGCTCCCCGAAGCTCCCTGAGCTCCCAAAGCTCCTTTCGTCCCCTCTCGTTCAGATCCTCCAGGGCCTGGCCAGGGTGGAAGGAAACCAAATTAGACTGAAATTAGCCTAGCAGAATCCCTACCTATACAACCGTTCATAGCAACGAAGGATCAGGCCGTCGAGGAGGAAGCAAACAGACGCAGTGAGAAGAAGAAAGACGAAGACCAGCAGGACGGGTGACGGCGAGGGATAATTAAGGTCGATATCCTTCAGGCGAGGCGTGCTCCCTGTCCGCCACTGGCATCGACAGGCGTCCCTTTTTTTGTCTTCCTCCCTGCAGGCGAAGCTGTCTATCAAAGATGCAGCCGGCGCCTATCGCTCTATCGTTCTCTTCCTACTCATGCGATCTGAAACTCCCCGCATAAAGAAGAAGAAAAGAAGGTAAACACGTTTAAAACCCGGCAGCTATCAGCGAATGAAGCACCGACAAGCTGCGGAATATATAACTTGCAGCAAGGGGGGGCAAAGGGGGTGTTGGGGGCCGTCATGCTCGCTGTCACCAAGTCCAACTTCCTGCTGTCAAGATGTCCAAGGTTCGCCATGGTGCAACTTAGAATGGGAAAAGGGAGAGCTTCCCGTCACACAGCAAGGCATGGGTTGACGTTTGTTGCTGTCGAGTTGTCAAGAGTTGCCTCTGGGCGAGACGTGGATAACTATGATGTTATGCTTAACCAGCTTCTTCATGCCTGGTCGGGAGAAAAGCTTGAGGCGGGCGACTTCGCCCCGTACTTATACAGCTTGGCTGTCTCGTCCAGCTTCTGATAGTTGAGCATATATTCTGTCGACAGAGCGTATACAAAGGCCTGGATGTTCATGATCTCATTCTCATATGATGATCCCGATCCCCAGCTAACTACTGATTGTTACTTGGACAGTTACTTCGCCGGGGGGGGGGGGGGGGAGGGGTGAGAGCCTAATTGTCGTAGCAGTAGCCGCTGGCGTTGTTGACCCCCTATTCCTCCACAGATGGAGACGGCTTCCACTGACCTTTTTGGCCATAGCTGACAGTCCTAGCCGCCGTGAGACGAGTGCTTTCACCTCAATATTATCTGTGCCAGGAGGACGAAGAGACTCACATGTGTTGATAGGCGTGGATCGCTGGGTTGCGCAAGTCCCGTCGTATCTTGTCACACAGCTCTCTCGTCTCTTAATTGACCACGAACCAGTCTCGGTGCCATATCGGGAGAGGAGAATGAGGAGAGATCAAAAGACTCCTGCGAAGAGCAGATTCGCCCAGCTGTCCAACCCTTTCCCCCCATCCTACTTGGTTGATTCGCAATTGTATGAAGCTGGTTATCCGGCTGGTAGCTTCAGGATGGACCGAAGGCCAAGACGGCCACGAGCTCCACACAGAATAATTCAATGCTTCATCGAGGAAACAGAGACAGCTAACTAATATCTGATCCATAGTAACTATCATAGTCGTCGTTTTTATTCATGGCCCATATTTATAGAGGAACACCTCAGAGAGCGCCGGTTTCACAGGTAACCTCTTTGGCTGTTTTAGGTAAAATTAACTAGTCAACGGTGATATCCGTGCTGATGATATGTTTGTCTCCCTCAAAAAGTAGCAGCTAGTTAGTTAGATGCTGAATAACTGTTGTCGAACCGAGTTTCAATCGTTCTGAACTCATTGAAACGCCTCCTCTCTGATAGCTATCGATGGTTGAAATTTTCTTCAAGGAGGCGACAACTTAACCTGGTCGTGTAGGAGTTGAAGCTGCCAGTCAGTTATGCAAAGCTTTAGCCATCCTACAAGTTTGCTCTCCATGACGTTGTCCCTTGTCATGAATCTGACGTCCTTGGAGGCGTTGGTTCCAGAATTTCAGAAGAATTGTTTGAAGTAGACCTATTGCTGGCTTCATCATAGCTTAGCTACTCACTGAGTGTATGATCGAGCACTGCATTATATGGGCAATAAATATCCGATTTGTTGGTAGAGGTAACATCATGGTGGCGACCACTGCATGTTCAATCCCTCATCGCATACGGAGTAGCCGGCGACAACTCCTCTGGCACGGAGGACGGCTTTTGATATCATTGCCATCGCCTGCCATGGTCACCATCGCTGTGAAGCTAGGGCGAAGCGTCGAGTTCAGGCTCGATGGCAGTCTCTAACTGCGCAACAGCGATGTTTCCTTGTTGTTGTTTAAAGACCGAAAAACTCGTTATTTAAATGGCCACCCACATGACTTTTTCACTGATTGATGCCCTTCTATGCCATGGAGTACTCTGTAGTTAACAAGCCAGCCTTTTTCTTCGCCATTCTCTGCTTCGTTGAGCGTTAGAATGTTCTGTGCGATCAGAACTGATCTGGTGCTTCAACCTTCCCGTACTTTGCAGGCAGTTATATATACTCACACTTATCCTGCAAACCGGATATATATACCCCGTACGGAGAGTGGCATGCTTGTTCCCACCAGCCTAGATCAAGGTCCTCGCTCCGTATCCGATTTTTGAGCCGTATTTGGGATGCGACACCTCCCCCTGGTCCACCCGGCTGCCCGGTTAAGCGTCCAGCCCGAGATAGTTACCCCATGACAGTGTTTAATCAGGCGCTAAACACCCTTGAGTGTTTCCGGGACCTTTCCCCGTAATCTTAGCGAAGCAAGCGGTGAAGATGTTTACTCCCGTCTGATGGTGTACAGCGGAGGGCTGAGATACATACAGCCAGCTCATGCAGCGGAAAAATGCATGCTGGCACCACTTCGGCCATCAGGGATCGTCAGGCCAAGATCATGCATGATCATAATAGTACCCCGTATTGCCTGGAGGAGGCTGTCCACTATGTAGATAGCGTGACAGATGGACTGCCAATACTGCCTTAAATATTTGGCTGTCCGTTGGATCTATCCCATTTTCCTCCCTTCATCCTCCTCGCATCACCCCCTTATGTTCGAGGGTGACCGTCACGTCGAGGACCGCTGTGTGCTCGCTGCTGGAGATGCATGCTGTCAGGTTATTCAATTAACTTGAACGCATAGCCCTTCGTTTCTCCTTATTTACTCTCATCAGGTGAAACTAGATGGAGTTTTTCCCGATGTCGCAATCATCGAATGTGATAACCACCCTGGCGGATAATGCCGATATCTCGATATCAGACGAGGGTACCATCTGGTACGTTGATTCTGTTGTCTTCATATTGTATAACCATGAAGTCGTGTTGACCTCTTATCCAGGTACTGGGTTGTCACAGGCATCTTCTCCCTCTCTGCCGTTGCTTTTCTAGTTGGCAGCTTCGTCGTCCGCAACCCAAATGTTCGACTTCAATACTACCTCTCGGCGCTATCGAGCTATATTCTCTCCATGGCATATTTCGCCATGGGCGCCAATCTCGGATGGGTAGCAGTCGAGGTTGAATTCCGTCGAGTGGGCCAGTTCGTCGTCATCGATAATGGAACCGAGAATCCTACTCGACAAGTCTTCTGGATCCGCTATGCTGGCTGGTGAGAACGTCCTTTCCAACAAGATAGATACCAGCAACCTAGTTAGTTACCTTCACCTGCTAACAGGTCATCAACCAGGCTGCTCGCAACACCCCTCCTGATGACGCAGTTGCTCCTGCTAATAAAAGCTCCGTTGAAACTTATCCTCCACGAAGTCTTCATGGTAAGCATAGTGATGATGACCGGCCTTGGAGCTGCCCTGATACCCAACGCGTACAAGTGGGCGTACTTGTAAGTTGTTCCCTGTCCATCCCGGTGCCTGTATTGCCTTTGATTCTGACGCAGCTATCAGTGTCTATGGCTTCTTTGCATGTGCTGCCCTCGGCTGGACGATGCTGAAGTCCGGTTACAACCACGTACGCGCAACAACGCCCTCTTTGAAACGGGTGTATCTCATGTTCTGCATTGCAGTATCGATAATATTCCTGTTGTATGGCTTAGCATGGGGCATGAACGAGGGAGGCAACTTCATGTCTCCTACTGGTGAAGCAGTCTTCTATGGCATTCTTGATATATGGGGAGGACCGCTTTACTGTGTGTTTCTTCTATGGGCGGCTCATCGGTATTATCGAACAGAAATGCTGCAGCTTCCCATCTAAAGGTTGTCATTGTTATATCGCGATCCGAAATAGATAGATAGAATCAATTTAGATGGCTACTCGTTCACTGCTTGTTCCCTTTATGCGCTTTCAGTAAAACCGTGGTAGATGATGAGAGGTTGATTGACGTTGAAATAAGGTCTTAATAACTTTTTGTCTTTGTCGTGGCTGAAGACTTCCGCTCGGCTATCTAACCGCATGCCAGTGACCTTTCTATACATAACTCGTTTCGAGAGGAATATGTATGACATGTCGAGCATTCTACGGAGTACCATGGACGATACACTAAGTAATCCGGGTCTGTAGCCATCTACGGAGTCACCATGTTATCATCAGCTTGCTATAGGATCTACCTCAGAGTTACCTTGTCAATAGTCGCCATGCCAACGGTCTAGTCCAGTCCATGACTGCCTTTACAGGACCGCAATTTAAATGACTTCGTGTTCATTTCATGCCGTTTTCGATCGCTGTGATGGGGTAGAATCCTGGTATTCAGGGAACAGGGGAATAGAGAGGATACAGGTTATATCCTAATAATTATAGCTTGGGCATGAAGTTTTTTTTTAATAGCGGTATCTCTGTTGTCTGAATGGAAGAGGTACGGACAAAATAGGTTCAATAATGCCTGTGCCAGCAGTAAAAGCAGCTCCCGAGATCCATCCTCCTTGCATAAAAGTCTGCCTAGACCAGTTCCTATCCTTACTATCCGCATCTATGGCGCTGGTATCGAAATGTGAAAGGACGTCAGCGATGGTTTTCAAAGGGGGGGGGGATAAGAGTCTAGGACATACGTAGCAGATGCATCCACCGCGCGTGCCGCATTCATGCCTATTGATGCATCTACGGCCTGGGTGGCATCTTCCAGGCTAGCATCTGGTTAGCCTTATGCCTTGTCCGCAGCTGTTATACGCATGTTATCAATGAAACTTACGTCCCTGATGCCGAGTGACTCGGCCAGCTGAGGTGCGGAAAAGGTATCAACAACACCAGCAATGGCAGAGCTGGTGAGCAGAAGAGTAATGAACCAGTGAAGCTGCATGTTCGGAGACGAATTCGGGTATGATTGGTTATATAGTTGATTTCCTAGTCAACAGTTTGGCGGATAAATGGAATGCTTGGGAATGAACTCCTGCATCCTTGATTCCAACGGCCATGAAAGCTCTTTATATAGCATCTTGAGACGCTATTGAAGAGGTATCGAATGCATGAGATCTGAATTTGAAAGCAAAGTTACACTGTTTCTGTGTGTTTCCGTGGAAAACCTCATGGTTGTAGATGGTAGAACAGAGTCACCTTCATGATCTTTGTTCTGTGGTATAGCATTGGATATAATAATAATGAACCGCAAGATCCGGGTGGGATATGAGCATCCCATCCATTGAATTTGACTGCTCTCTTTCTTGAAGGCGGACCGCATAGCTTCCTCCTCCACCTCCACGGTCTGCTGGCACCGTAGGCAGATATTTGAACAGCCCGGAAACAGCCAGACTGGCCCAATCCCACCGTATTGGATTTTCCTAGCAGCAAGACGAGAAATGCTGGTGCAACATCCGCCTGAGTGGCAATGCCATCGCAGGGATACCTCAAGTAGTTATCCCCCAAGTATCTCGTCTCAGGCTGGAAAATCCGGCAGCGAGGGCCAAACCAGCATCCGGCCGAGGGCAAAGGACGATAACCAGCGGCCGCTCGAACCCCCCAGCCAGTCCTGCCCAGCGGCCACTCTTGATCCTTGCCGGCTATCGTATTTTCGTCCCTTTGTCTGCTGACGAGCTGGCGGTGTGGGCGACAGCCGGCTAACCGTCGCTGTCTCCCGGTGGTGCTTGTCCGCACAGTTGGTTACCGACATATAAAAAACAGCGTCCTACTCTGTCTTCATCCCAGTCACCGTGAGACTCCGTCCCGATAACGTCGCGCAGACCAAGGCAGACACGCAAGAGCCCGTCTGTATATCGCGATCAAACCCGGCGTTAACGAGAGTCGACTGCGGGCGAACTAACTAACTGGTTGGTGAGCTGGCGATGGCGCTTGTCCCCCCACCGGCGGCGGCTGAATTAGCGATAGCCCCTACAGACCCGCCGGCTGTTTCGACATGCTCGACGCCGAGAGCTCGATACGATGAGGCTGCGGCCGATGGGAAGTCTGACAGTGACGTCGAGGACCGCTTCGACGGCGCAGGAAGGGCTGCGGATGGGCCGGGCAGCAATGGTGACGCTGAGGGCCGGTATTCGAGACGCCGGCCCAACGACGATGGCATCTACTACCCCGAAGGCGGCTTCAAGGCGTGGATGGTCGTCGTGGGATCTTGCTTTGGCACTGCCGTTACTCTGGGGATGATGTGAGTTGATACCAGCATGCTTGTTAACTAACTACGTGTCACATCGCTTTGCTGCTCGTTTGCTTGTTTGTGTTTGACCAGCTTGCTCACGACGGGTACAGGAACACAGTCGGTACAATCCAGGCCTATGTCCGCGAGCACCAGCTCAAGGAGTATGACGAGGGTACAACCGGGTGGATATTCAGTACCTTCATCTTCCTTGGTTTCTTCGGCGGCGTCCAGGTTGGGCCTGTGTTTGATGCCCATGGCCCCAGGATGCTGATACTCGCCGGCAGCGTCTGTCTGGGTGCCAGCATGCTGCTGCTCGGACTGTGTACGCAGTACTGGCATTTCATGCTCTGCTTTGGCATCCTTGGTGGAACGGGGGCCTCCCTGATCTTCACGCCTGCTCTATCAGCCATCAGCCACTGGTTCAACGAGAAGAGGGCAACGGCTACTGGGATTGCTGCGGCGGGCGGCTCAGTCGGTGGGATCGTTTTCCCTCTCGCCTTGCAGAAGCTATACACAGTGGTCTCGTTTGCATGGGCTACAAGAATCGTTGGATTCGTCGTGATCTTTTGCTGTGCCGTGGCGGTCATACTGGTGCGCTCACGTCTGCCCCCAAAGCCTGGACAGACAGTTATACCCAGCCTACGCATCCTACGCAACCCGGCATATCTATCTGTCACACTGGGGACATATTTCATGGAATGGGCTCTCTTTGTCCCAATTGCGTATATCACTGCATTTGCCCTGTCGACGGGTGCCATGTCCACCGCGTTCTCCTACCAGCTAATAGCTATAATGAATGCGGGGTCCAGCATTGGCCGAGCGCTGCCTGGATATGTGGCTGACAAGCTTGGTCGTTTCAACAGCATGATCGCTGCTCTTGTTATCTGCACAGCCATGACCATTACTCTATGGCTGCCTGCCTCGCTCCTTACCACAACTCCTTCCTCAGCACCGACAATCAAAGCATTGTCCATTGTGTTTGCTTTGATATTTGGCTTTGCTTCTGGATCCAATGTCTCCTTAGCTCCGGTGTGCGTGGGCCAGCTGTGTGACACGAATGAGTATGGGAGGTACTATGCAACATGTTATACGATCGTCTCATTCGGCACCCTCACAGGCATTCCGATTGCGGGGAGTCTTCTCCAGCATACTGGCGGACGATACTGGGGAGTTGTTTTATGGACCACCCTCTGCTACGTTATTTCTCTAGCCTGCTTTATCTGGGGCCGAGCTTGCTGCGTCGGATGGAAGCTGGGGGTCAAGTTTTAGAGTGCTTTTTTCCCCTGACTAACTTAGAACTGCCATCTATATCGGCAGGCAGGCGTGTTTCTTGAAGCTTGTGAGGGGGGAAAATAGTTCATATTATTGCTGCATATATATTAATGGCGGGATAAAGGCTGTTCTAGTTGTATATGTAAAAGACATACTGTTGCTGTGTTTGTTACTTCCTCTCTTCCGCTTCGTGTAGCACAGCATGAGACCCTGGTAGCCAGCGGACTAGTTATTCCCACCGGCCAGTAACTAATGGCCACATCGTGTACCAAACGAGTCATTCAATATCAGAAAGCACAATACCCTCACTACTGCACATGGCGACAAGATAATGTCCTCGTCTTCTTCAATGTCTTCTCCATCCTCTCCTACTTCCACACAATCTCCTTGAGCCGCTTCGGAAGAAGAGCGGCCGGTGGAAAAAATCCGGGCCGGAGCTGCGGCCCGCCGGGGCTCCATAACCATAACTGTAAATCCAAGTGGACTCACTCCATCGGGCATTAAAACTAGCAGGACAAAAAGGCCATCTACGATTCGGCTATTGTTACAGAGACTCCTTACTAGCAAAGTATGGCCGTTGTAATTATATGTTTGTTATATATTGCATATGTACAGTCGTAGCTCATGTGGGTATCTTTACATCGACACAATCCTCTCCTGGCTCTCTGTTCTCCCATCCGTTCTGGTATGGCTATGGTCTGCATCGGACCGGACAGCCCCCATGGAAAGGGTGTCATTGTGAGTAACCGAGTGTGAGGGCCTCCCATCCAGGGTGGTCGAAGTAGGGGCCGATCTGCTGAATCTGTAGTCTTTTATTCGGTGCGGGAAGTGCTCAATGCTGTGAGACAACGTCTCAAAGGCAGACCGGGACCTTGGAAATATCAAGAAAAATGACTGGCGGAGCATGGGCAAACAAGCAACTATGATGCCTGTATTAAGCTCAATCGCACTCCATACCGAGATAAGGGCAACGCTCCCTGTGTAACCATTAACCATCAGATATGCTATGAGGTGGATTATAGTGGTACAAGTGAACTCACATAATGGGTCATGGTTGTCAGAGGTCCCAAAGATAGTTGTGGTTCGAATAATGCTGACTATGCAGCAGCTGAAGAGCATGGAAGGTTAGCATGCCGCGAGAAGAGATCGGGTCGATGCGTGTCTTTAACTCACAATAGGCCAAGGGAAAAGATGAAGATAACCAGTATTTTATCCCTTTTGTTGGATAAGAGTATAATGGATTCTCGGATTGGAAGAGCAAGGATGAAGAAATCAGTGATAACGTTTAATAGTGCATATGAGACTCTCCACTCGGCATTTTCAATGCATTTGTGTGGGACTGCGCGGTTCCAATATGCATATATGGGCTTGCATTGGAACACGGTTGGAAATGTAAAAGCGATGCCAGCCGCGGCGGTTATTGCCATGAGCGCATAGCAGGTCCATACAAACAGCTTCTGGACGTAGAATATTCGTACGAATAGAAGGAGGAATGAAATTTTGATAAGAGATAGCGATATCTTGTATGATATTTGTAGGACGTACAAGTACTATATTGGCCAACCAGGAGGATTAGTGAGCATCGATCGAGTCCAAGTTTGAATAGAGCCAGCCAGAGGGAGCAACCGGGCCAGCTTACCTTTAATGTTAGCACTTTGTCCGCTGGAGAAACGTCCCAGGTGTGTTTTCCTAGGCCATGTTCCACGCCTGAGATTGAAGTTTAGTGATTAGCAGCTTTGATCCGGGGCGTCTCTTGGAGAGTTGCCACTTACAAGTTATCTGTAGGGCAGTGTAGAGAAGCGCGAGGACCTTATAACTCCGTTAAAACAAACAAAAAAAAAAAAAAAAAAAAAAAGAAAATGGTAGAATTGCGCGCAGGTTAGGAGTCTTCATACAAACGCAGCCAGTATTGTCCAGTCGTCTGCGCCGATGGAGCGCTTCAGGTATCTCCCAACGAAACGGATGACAACGAGGATGCCCGCGATGACAGCCATGACTAGACATAGTATCGACAGCTTCACTGCCCGCTGTGAGCCATCTGCCATCGGGTTGCTGGGCACCGCTATGCTTCTGTAGAGAAGAGCCGCCATCGCACTTGGCTCGGTGGAGAGCGCAAATCGCAGACAGCAAGATCAGCTCCTAAAAGCCACGAGCAACTATCCCACGCCTGTCAAAAGCCGCTCATGGGGGATCGTTGTTCTCCACGCAAAAAGATGATTCTTGTCCACACCCGCCTGCAGCGAAACCGTTTCGTGTCACGACATGAGTCCAGGTAGGAAGAAACTTCGGAAACGGCTCGTTGCTCCAATCAAGCTAACTGCTCTAGAACGGCAGATAATGGCCAAAAAAACTAGACGAGGAGGAAGAGGAGGCTTCTGTCAGTGCGGCAGAGAGAGCTCGTCCAAAAGGTAGAGTGTTTTCTTTGGCTGCAGCCAGCACGTCTCTGAGCTCCCCGGAAGAAGCTGATTATGATATGATATGGAAATCCCACAAACAATATGTTAGCCAACCAAGTGTGTAACTCCCTGCTATGCGGGCGAGGATCATCACCAGATTCCATCAACCGCAGCACCTAAAATAGCTGCCAGGTTGATTCCAAGTAGCGAGCGGGTCCTCCGTAGATATCTTAGCAACTCTAGGGCTGGTGTCTGACCACAGGAATCGAGCTGGTTGACAGAGCGATCGTCCGTATCAAGACATCTTCTTCATCTCTGGATCATGAGGTGTTTCGAGTCCAAGCGAGCTAGTCGAGCCCTTGCAGGGGGTGAAGGATTTTTTTACCTAACTCTCTCTCGGGATTGTCGTAACTCTGCGTCCGTATCAAGAGACGGCAGCACCCAAACCAGCTTAACATTTGGTTTAGTGAGCTGCTAACAACCTTAAATCGCCATCCAGCCAGCGTTTAAATGTGAGCGATCCTTCAGATCCGAAGACAGCGGAACGTGAGCGCGGTCTTCCCGTGCGGAGGCTGCCCGGGTCAAGGCCTGGATCGAGCATTAGCCTGGCACTTATATTCGTTTTGCTCGCGAGCAGCGGACGGAATGGTGTGAAGGGCTGGCAGACGGTGCCCTTCGCCTCGAGGGAGGAGTGGCATCAAGGCCCAGCCAGTCCAAGTAGATGAAGCCTGCACGCCACCCAGAGGCTACTGGGAAGAACTCGTAATGAGGTTTGGTGCATTCGTTAGCTGCGTTGGCTAGCTGCTGGGGGGTCTCCCTCCCCCAGAGGCGGGCCATCTTATTCCATGCGGAAGCCCACAATAATCATGTCCCCTTTTTCGCCAGGATTGAAGCCTCTCTGGCCTTCGGAGTCCGAACAAGCGCATGGCGTTGACTGGAGGAAGTGGGCTGTTGGACAAAACTCCATCGTTGGGACCCTCCCCCCCCCCCCCCCTCACCTTGCTAGCTTGCTGAGGTGTTCTGTATGACATGATTAACTGTAGGAAGCGGAGTATGGGATGCAGGATAACTAACTGCCCAATACAAGTTTCCTCCCCTTTGCAGGGCGTTGAAACATGCTGCCGTGTATATCATTTCCCGGGGGGTGTTCATCCTCTGAACACTGCCTGTACATAAGAACCTGCTGCCCCCCTGCTGCTGCTCGCGAGATCCATGCTGCTGATTGCCAGTCAGCCAGCCAGCGAGCTAGAAAAGAAACGAGACGCAGAAGATGGCTTCACGACCGAATTTCCTTGTGATTGTCGCCGATGACCTGGGCTTCTCGGATGCAGGCTGCTTCGGCGGCGAGATCAAGACACCTCACATCGACAGCATCGCCAGCAATGGAGGAGTGCGATTCACAGACTTCCACGCAGCGGCCGCCTGCTCGCCCACACGTTCGATGCTGCTCTCTGGCACTGATAACCGTAAATAATATGCTGAACCCCTGAACCACTCGCTCCGTATATGCAATGGCGACCCCTAGTGGGAAAAAACAAGACTGACAAGCAGCCCGCGCGCCCATCAATCGTGTAGACATCGCCGGCCTGGGGACGATGAACGAGAATCAGACCGAGTTCCAGCGCGGCAAGCCTGGATATGAAGGCTACTTGAACGACCGAGTCGTCGCCCTGTCAGAGCTCTTGCGGGATGCAGGCTACCAAACCCTGATGTCTGGTAAATGGCACCTGGGGCTGGATCCAGATCACACGCCTCATGCACGCGGCTTCGATCGATCATATTCTCTGCTTCCAGTATGGCTGCTCTGCCCTTCTTTTCTTTTCTTGCATTATTTTTTGCGTTTAGCGGGCGTTTTGACTCGGCCGCCGTCAGCCTCGTTTCGTTTAACTAATGCGTGGAGTTCTTCTTTTTGATATCGGTTGCAGGGAGCAGCAAACCACTATGGCTGGGAACCGCAGCTCCAGAATCCAGACGAGAAAGCTCCCGGCTTGATGTCGCATATGCCGAGCATCTATGTAGAAGATGACAGGCGGATCGACCCCAGTGAGCTCGGGGAGAACTTCTACTCCAGCGTGGCCTTTACGGACAAGATGCTCGAGTATCTCAGGGGCAAGGACGCAGAGAAGCCCTTCTTTGCCTACCTCCCTTACTCGGCGCCGCACTGGCCCTTACAGGCTCCCCGGAAGGATATCGACGACTACCGGGGCGTCTACGATGAGGGGCCGGAAGCTCTTCGCCAGAAACGCCTTCGCAAGCTTGAGGAGCTTGGCTTGATACCAGCGGGAACTGCGCCTCACGACGTGGTCGTCATGGGCAATCGCATGATGTCCAGGTTCTGGCACGACCTGACCCCTGAGGAGCGCCGGTTCTCGTCTCGATGTATGGAAGTGTACGCGGCCATGGTCCAGTGTATGGACACCCAGATCGGCCGCGTCCTCGACCAGCTCCGTCAGTCCGGAGACATGGAAAATACCCTCGTCATCTTCATGTCTGACAATGGCGCGGAGGGAGCGCTTCTGGAGGCCCTGCCGGTCGTGCAGAACAATATATTCGAGCACATAGACCAGTACTACGACAACTCCATCGAGAACCTGGGGGCCTACAACTCCTTTATCTGGTACGGCCCTCACTGGGCGTCTGCAGCCACTGCTCCGTCCCGGCTGTATAAGATGTTCACTAGCGAGGGCGGCATACGGGTGCCCCTTATCCTCAATTACCCTCCTCTCACGGCTGGGAAGGCCGGTATAGACCATACCTTTGGCACTGTCATGGACATTGCGCCTACACTTCTTGAGCTTGCGGGTATCAAACACCCTGCCCCGTCTTACAGATCCAGGCCCGTCTACCCCATGCGAGGATCATCGTGGCTACCATATCTTAAGGGAGAACGGACACAGATACACGATGAGGACCATGTCACTAGCTGGGAGCTCTTTGGCCGCCAGGCGGTGCGCCAGGGAGACTGGAAGGCATTGCATATCCCGAAACCTGTTGGCCCCGGGAAATGGCAGCTGTACAATCTGAGTGAGGATCCGGGCGAGACAAAGGACCTGGGAGAGCTTTTCCCGGACAAGCTGGCTGCCCTCATTGCTGAATGGAAAAAGTATGAAAAGGACGTAGGCGTCGTTGGAGCCATGCAATACGGAGTGCTGGGTGTAGATGATCAGGATGTAATCCAACAGTGGTGATGCCATATACATCGACCGTCATTCGCAATATATAACGTTGATATAGATGCATAGCAGTTATTTGGATATAAAAATTATTTAAATGGTTACTCTGCAGTTATCGGGTCAATGTATGGTTGATTTAGTTACGTTAGTTAACTAGTTTGTAGGGGAAAATGGCTAAAGTATTCAAATTTCGACTCAGTGAGAGATCTTTTTTTTTTTTTGTTCAAGCATATATTTAGAGACCATGCAAAGAAGACATACCCCAGCCGTTATCATCCATACGGTAGATGCCCAAGACTGAGGTCCCCAGGCTAAACATGAAGCTGTCGATTTTCCCGTTCCTGACTAGCGATGAGTTCTCGCAGGCCTGTCGTGAATTTATACGCTTGGTGGACGGCTGCGATGGCCAGTTGGAGCCCCTTGGATGGACAAAAACCAGATTCGATGAAACCGTATGCGTGCTCATCTCGCTATCTGGGCCTGTCTCGTATATGGACAGAAGCGTTCGTACCTCTGAAACCAGCTAACGAGGATATAGGGCGCTGAACCTGTTTTGGTGGTGAGGAAATATACGGACCGCGACAGCCAGCCTACAGAGTCTACAGAGACTGAACCAGGCGTTGGCGAGAAAAATGCCAATAATAAAGACGAAGAAGATACGAATATTGACGAAGAAGCAGATATAGAAGATATAGAAGATGACCCTGTTCGACAAATCCTCCGTATTCAAAAACCGAGTCTGATTAAGTCTATTCTAACTCTTTGACATGCAGGATGCTTTGATTCGACAACCAGTTTCTACTCGCAAATGTGAAGTAGAGTATCATGTTATGCTATCCCCAACATATCGGGTCCCTGTGCTGTACTTCTTCCTGCCAGGGGGGCCACCGTGTGGACCGAAAGAGCTTCACAATATGTACAACTCGCTAGTTCCAACACAGTTCAGGTCCGAGTTGAGAGGCGTAGGAGTCATGGGAGGCGTAAGCATCACTGTGAGTCTATATCCTGTGCTTCCTCGAAAATTTGGCCTTTTCGTCATGAAAGTTCAAAGGCTCATCAAAAAACTAATGATCAGAACCACCCTCTAACCGGAATACCGGTATATTTTGTCCACCCATGTGCTACCAGCGAGGCGCTAAAGAGTGTAGCGGGAGACAAGGAGCAGACGACTGAGACATATCTGCTATTATGGATAGGGTTGGTAGGAAATTGTGTCGGGCTAAACGTTCCGCTGGAAGTTGTTGCACAGGCAGGGAATTCATAACGGACGCGCGGAGGTGGTTGCTGCTTTTTGATTAGTTACCCTGTCTTTTTTTGTTTATTTTTGCCGAGCTGCAGATCTCTGCACTGAGCATTTGGTTCTTGATAGACCATGTCGTTGCAACAAATTCATGGCTGATTAATCCTCATCGGAAGATGCTTCCATAGACACGTCACTTTCCTCGTCCATAGGTGCTTCGCCATCACTTTCCTCCTCCCGTGTTCGTTTCACACCCTGTGGTGGTGCTGGCTCGGCAGCCTCGCCATTGGCCGGTTTAGGTGGTATGGAAGTAGTAGCAGTGGCCGTGGAAGGCGGAGCATTGAAAATAGATTTCTGAAGCTCCGTTGATATTCCCTGGTCTTCGTTCGGGCCTGATGGATTGTAAGTGCCCCGCAACTTGGCAATTATATCTGAGTTTCCTTTGGCATAAACAATTTTCTAAAAGAGAAGTTAGCCAGATAGATAACCTTTTTGAAAATTGTCATATGTTGTTTTAACAAGCCAATTGTAAAATGCATACCATTTCTTTTCCAAAGAAATCGAAGCCTTGGAGCGCCCGCATCGCCTGTGTGCTCGTTTGAACGTCCCTAAACACAATGTGTGCTTGGCCGCGCATACCCTTCGATCTCATGGCTACCACATCGAGAACCGCGCCGTAGGTAGAGAAAAGGGTGTAGAGAGCGGTCCTCAGATCGGGTTTCTTAATCTTATCGGGGAGGTTTGTGCAGTACAGCCTTTGTTAAAGTCAGTTCTCTACATCATCACAATAGATATAGGGACCTGGGGTTTGCTTTGCTCCCAACTCACGTCTGATTTGGCGCGCCAACATTGGTAGGGGCGGTGTTCGTGGCCATTGTCAAAGACCAGCAGCTGGTATAGCAGCTTCTCTTCCAATCTGCGTATCTATGTAGAATCAACGCGAGTATCTGTGTTCGACCGGTGTTGTTGCTCCCAAAATCCAGCAGTTTAACATGTCGGTTTTTCGCTTTGGAGCTTCTTCGAAGCTGTGTGGACGAGAGAAGGTCACGTGAGTATAACATTACATAATCCGCATAGTTACGAGTTTCGCGGGGGCTTTTTGGGATAAGAAACAACAACGATAGAGACGACGACGACGACAAGGAGAAACAGTTGTTGCTGCTGCTATTGTATGGGCTGATTGAAGAGAGCAAGGCGATAGTAGAGAGCTCCTCCTATCGCATTTTGTCTAGACACTATGGCACCCCCCGAAGCCCACCACCTTTTCCACCGGCCGATTGCGGACCACTCGTTCTCGTCGGACAGAGGCACTCTCGCAGTGGCCAAGGACAATGTTGTCGAGCTCTACGAGACCGCAGGCAACAAGTACACATTGAAAGAGGAGCTTAAAGGCCACGACAAGACCGTTACCAGTGTAGACGTTGCTCCCAAGAGCGGGCAGATCGTGACCTGTTCCCAAGGTATGGATGTAACGTCTGTTGGAGGAGCAGCTGCTAAACTACGGATGCAATGATACAGACAGAAATGCCTATGTATGGGAACAAACCGGCTCTGGATGGAAACCTACGCTCGTGCTGCTTCGAATTAACCGTGCCGCCACTTTTGTTCGCTGGTCCCCCTCCGAGCAGAAGTTCGCTGTTGGATCAGGCGCCCGCGTTGTTGCAGTGTGTTACTTTGAAGAGGAGAATGACTGGTGGATTTCTAAACACCTGAAGAAGCCAATTCGAAGTACCATTACTACCCTTGCATGGCACCCCAACTCCGTCTTCCTCGCAACCGGCTCGACAGACTCGCACTGCAGAGTGCTTTCTAGTTACATCAAGGGAATTGACCAGCGCCCGGAACCCAGTGTTTGGGGTGAGAGGGTTCCCTTCAACACCAACTGTGGAGAATACTTGAACGATTCTGCTGGATGGGTCCATGGCTGTGCCTTTTCCCCGAGTGGTGATGCTTTGGCATTTACTTGTCATGACAGCAGCGTTACTGTTGTGTACCCATCTGCCCCGGATCAGCCTCCCCGTGCCATGTTGAACATTAGTACGAGATTGCTGCCATTCATGAGCTTGGTTTGGATTAGTGAGAACGAGATAGCCGCAGCTGGCCATGTAAGAGGCTCTCTTTTATGTTTCATTTAACCTTAATGCTGATGCTGATGATTTTAACGACAGGATTGCCAAATTTATCGTCTCAACGGAGATGAAGCTGGCTGGAAGCTGGCTGGATCTCTCGAGGTTAAAGCAGCCACTAGAGGTGCTGTTGCCGAAGAGTCCGCGCTCAACAAATTCAGGCAAATGGATTTGAAGGGCAGCACCAAGGATGACTCTAAACTCCAGAGTGTTCACCAGAACACAATCTCAACTCTTAGGGTCTACTCTGAGGACGGTGGTACTGTTAAGAAGATCAGCTGTAAGTTTACTACCCCTCGTCCTACCTTCCGTGTCTGCAACTACTAACTGTGACTACAGCTAGCGGTGTCGATGGCAGAGTTGTTATTTGGGATGTCTAATGCTCGATACCATGTTGACATATCTAGAATACCCTCTTGCTAGGTAGAGTGACAAAGGTGACGATACATATTCGTTAGCAGGTCTTTTAACCAAAAAATCGGAACGTCGAGTCTGTAGAAATAAAGTAGAATTTAAGTTAAGGTTGGATGCGGCTCCGTGATTAGATCAGCTGATGACATCAGCGTGACTTTTCTCTTTCCGTCTCAACTTCGTCGCGCTCGCTTTTCCTCTTTCTCGTGGCGTGATCATAAAAACCCAAGAGGCATCACGCTGACGGGCGTTGCACGTATAAAATAGCATGCTCCCTGTGATGAATTTTGTCCTTTTCCTTCTCAACTCTCTATCCTTGACTCCATAACCATAGTTAGCCATGGCTCGTGTCAGCATTCTCCTCTTAGGTGCTGCGATACTGCACTCGCTTCTACCTACAGCGACCACGGCTGGTCGGGTTGCGCAAGATGATGAGGGCTATAGTGTGCCGTACTTTGAGAATACCGGACGCCAAGTGTCACAGCCTCTATTTGAGGAACTTAACGAGCTCGCTAATATCGTCGATATAGCGTACTGTGTTGGGAACTGGGGCATAACCAAACCGTTTAGCTGTCCGGGCCTGTGCGAGCAGTTCCCCAACTTTGAGCTAGTGAAGGTAAGTATCTTCTCCTTTTTTGTAAAAAATAATGTCGTATACACCTGGAGAATGGTAGTGATGTGAATCATACTGACTTTACTGTGCAGACCTGGAACACAGGCCCTCTGCTCTCCGATTCTTGCGGATACATTGCTCTTTCCCACCCTCCGTCAGCGAAGAGAATCATAGTATCGTTCCGAGGAACTTATTCTATCGTAAACGCCATAGCGGATCTCTCTGTTGCTCCACAGGTTTACGTGCCTTATCCAAACGGAAAGGAGCACCCCTATGCAAAATGCGATAACTGTACCGCACATGGTGGTTTCATGCGTTCATGGGAGAATACGCGACCGGAGATAATACCCGATCTTATAGAGGCTATGATGAAGTACCCGGATTACCAACTAGTTGTCACGGGCCACTCGCTTGGTGGTGCCGTAGCCGCTTTGGGGAGCCTTGAGTTCAAGTTGCGAGGCTGGAATCCCCATGTAACCACATTTGGCGAGCCCCGAATAGGGAACCAGGCACTGGCGGATTATTTCGATAAGGTGTTCGGCCTTAACTCGACGGCCCCTTCGAATGCAGGCCTCGGGTATGACCTTCATCTCCCATACCGCCGCGTAACCCATACCAATGATCCTGTTCCCCTCCTTCCTCCACCTAGTTTGGATTATCGTATGCATTCGGGTGAAATTTTCATCACCAAGGTCGATGTTCCTCCGGCTATCACTGATCTGCGTGTCTGTTATGGGCCCACTGACCCAACTTGTATCAGTGAGGAAGAGCAAGAGTATGTCCGTAAGTTACAGGATGCACTACCGTGGATGCCATCCGGTATGCCTGATAATGATCAGAGCCCACTTGACCCCGAAAACGCAGACTCTGAGGTTGATACTGAGATGGTCAAACCGTGGGAACTTTTCTTTGCCCACCGTGATTACTTCCATCGAGTAGGTATATGTTTTCCAAATATCTTTGGCTCTCCCGACAAAAGTGATAAGAAATCACCTTGGTGGAAATTCAAATGGCTTTTCCCTGGCCATGACAATCTGTGAATGAAATTATGTCGGGATATTTTTGGATATTTAGGAGTTTCAAGATACCCCATGGTTTTCTTTTCTTTTCTTTTTTTTTTTTTTGGAGTCAGAATTGTTTCTATATTATATACCCAGGCATTCCTTCGCTGTTCGAGTACAAGTCTAGTTTCATCGTCACTCATTTTCATTTCGTTTAAACTGCTTAGGTGAGGCATAGTTCTAGAATATACATCAAAGGCTCATTTCAATACCGATTAGAAAACCCAGATGCAAAATTAATCTGCAACAAACAGAAAAGGAATAAGGCGTTACATCGCTAGAAAAGCAAACATGACAGACGCTTAGCAAGAAAGATAAATATATCAAAGAAGATCGCCAGCAAAATCAACTTGGTATATGAATATATGAATGGTCCCTCCCGCAGTTCTCAAAATAAGATACTTTGCATAATTACCTACCCAGTTCCAAGCTAGGAACGATAACAGGGCCAAATTTAACCACATTGCCAAACGAACCTTCTCCCTGTACCAAAAAGTCTACTGCAAGGCTCAATTTCGGAAACGAGCCAGTGGCAGAGTTGTTCGGTGGGTACATGGGGGATTGCATACCACTGTATGCGGCTTGAACTGCATCAGGGTCATATCCAACGATTGCAACGTAGTTTCTTCTGCCCATAAGCTTTCGGTGTTCTCTTGGTTGACCAGAAACATCAGTTTGGAAAAGTTCCATCATGTCCTCCTTTGTATCTGAGACTTGGGCGGTGACTGATCGCTGGCCGTTTGTGGGTATGTAGAGAGGTTTGTTATTTCCATGGAGTAGTTTAAGAATGTATGAGGGGGGAGGAGCATTGACTACTGCAGAAGAAATGATTTGGTACATTGTTTTGTGATCTGTTGGGTGTGAAGGGTCGTGAACGAGTCCAGCTCCGCAGCAGTTTACTGCACCAGAGAGGAATGTCATTCTGATACTTCGTTGGTGTGCAATTCCTTGGAGGGTGCGGATAAGATATGTTCTCTCCAGGTCCTGATGAGCAATTGTGTGAGCCATGGTACGGAAAATAATAATAATAATAATAATAATAGATATAAGGATGAGCAATCGCTTACCTTCGATTCATGGGTCCATTGGTCTTTCAGCTCATCGAAAATATCAATTTCACCAAACGGACTCAGCACACTGCCCATTAGGCCAGATTTTCCCACAGCTCGTTTAACCGAGTCAAATCCTGAGCCCACCGCACTCTTAGCACCGACAACACCAGCAACAGAGCTCGTGACTCTTCCAAGCATGTTGTAAGCTCCAGTCACAGCCTTTTTGCCGGTAGCAACAGTCTGGACGAAATGTTCTGCGGATTCTAGGCGCGGGTAAACCAGAGGTACTGAAACCATCCATATGCAGTGTTGGACACTGGGAGGGAGGGTTGCAACTTTGGGGAAAATGCCTTGATATGTTGGACCAGCAAGCACTTGGTGAGGGCTTCTCTCGGAGCGGCAGTCAGGACCGACAACCGCAATAGCAGGGCCAAGATATTTAATGAAATGCCAACCGGTTCCGGTGATAGTAAACAGGTCAGAGTCATCTACGACGTGCCGTAGAACCTCTAGGGTGGTATGGTGCTGGAAAAGGAGATACATTTCAATTCCAAGCCGGCCAATGTTTTTGAACATGTTTGAAAACTGCATATGGTCGGGGTATGAGCCAAAGCCATCAAAACTAAACAGTAGGTAAATACGTGCTCCACAAATAGTACGGCATCAAACACTTACATGTCATGGTCGTCGACCTGAGAAATATGAGGCAGCTGAGCGAAAGCCTCCCTTAAATGGGGTTGGTCAAAATGGCTGGTATAGTAATGGAAATAGGCATGGGTTACATCCTCTTCCAGTGCAGCAGTCCAAGGTGCATTTTTCCTAGCCTCCTTACCGCTGATAGCAAGCCATTGCTTGAGAGAAGGGACCTCCTTCCACAGCCGGTCAGCGTTGATCTGCCCTCCAAGGCACAATTGGGCATGGAATCCGCCACATTCGACGTGCTTTTGCATGATATCTTTCCACATGTAGCCCACCCCACCCAAACGAGATCTTTCGTTGGCATTTATGTTCAAAGCAAAGTCATTGCCTGAAGTGGCCACAACCCTCCATGCTGTTTCATGTCGTCCGGCGACTAAGAATTCGTAACGAGTGCAGCCAAGGTGGGAGGTAATAGCATATGTCCATTTGTGAGACGAGTTGTCATCCATTTGTATGTCAATACTATATTTATAAAATATCCATCGTTGGTGGCTAGCAATGCGCGCTGGTTGGAGCTGTCTTGGGTTTGGCGATAGATCGGTGCTCTTGTGTATATGGATTGTTGGAGGCTGCGATGCATCAGTCACAAGCAAAATGGAGCCCAGCCAAAGGCCTCGCTCCATATCCATGTTGGTATACCGCAAGTAAGGACCGAAATATACACCGTTAGTGGGGGCAACTTTATACATTTCTACGCCGCTTGCAGGCGGTGGTCCTACAAAGCCACTATTCATCCCCATAACACTTCCTTCGTATCCAGGAGTCATCGGCAAACCTGGGGAAGGCATAGGCTGACCAAAGGCAGACAGGGCGGGAGATGCTAAAGGTTGTCCAAATGCAGATAGAGCTGGAGAGGCCAAGGGTTTTGCAAAGGAGAGTCCAGGAGATGTTAGTCCGTGACCACCAAATGTGCTGTGGCCAGGAGACATGGGTGTCTCATTTAGATTAAGCGGCGTGGGACCCTTGGGGAATTCCCACTGAGTGGATTGTGTGGGCAAATGAATGTAGTAGTATTGACCAGAATTGGGGTCCAAGTGGGCTATCCAACCTTCTGGAAGTGGAGGCGGAGAAGCTGGCCCAGGTCCAGGATGTGCCGAAGAAGGTTCGCTCTGCTTCGATGAGGACGGAAACGCAGATGGTCCGGCTTGGAAGTTATGCTGACTTGGAGTTCCGGTATGTGCTTGACGGGAGTCATTTGCGAATGCAGGATGGCTTTGTATTGATGGCTGCGAGCCAGCTACAGATGGAGGGCCACTGACCGCTACGGACCCTGCGATAGGTGGATATTGAGCGGTAGGCCCACCATGCTTTTCTTGAGGGTATGCCATATTCTGTCCACCCATTACGCTTGAGTATGCTGGCGGCGGGGACGCGGTCATATTCAGTCTTTGGAAATCATCCTCCAGTTGGCCCTGCGGATTATTATTATGATTGTGGTTATTAGTAGTAGTGGCAGTACTCGTAGGAGCCGTGACGGCTGTAGTGATAGGTTGTGGTGCCATGGATACTTGGCTGGAGGGTCCTTCGGTCACTGGGACTGGAGTGACGTCCGAGTCACCTTGATAGATTCTTGGAGGACCATGGGGCTCAGTTCCTGGTTGTTCAGTTGGCGTCCATGGACGCGGTGGTGCAACTGCAGCGTGCTGTACAGTTGGAGGATTGCTTCTTCCTGGAATACCACTGTATTGTTGCGCTCTTTGCTGTGCCGCATGATTGTGAGCATGAATGCTGCTCAGAGTTGCTGCGCCGGCAATTCCAGAAGCGGCGTAACGAGCCTCAATATCCGAACTCGGCTGTTGCCCAGGCCCAACTATCGGGGTTTCTGGCGGCGGAGGGGAACCGCGCTGGGCCTTTGTAGTAGAAGTGGAGGCAGTCGAATCGATTCGGTTTATAGAGCTAGTCGGCGCTTGAAGATTGCTAGAGGATGTAACAGACTGTGTAGGAGGAGGCCAATACTGCTGGTGGTATTCCGGGTATGGATTCACAACAACCGATGGATTGTTGTTCTGGGCAGAAGAACTCGGCTGTTGAGGAGCCGCTCTCTGTGGGAGACGCTGAAAGAGGCCTTCCTTGTCAGGGCTCTCGGCTGTTGGCGACTCCAGCTGTTTTGGCGCAGCGGCACCTCTTCTCTCCGCAAGGCTGGACTGGGCTTGCTTGGGATCACGTCTATCCTGCGGTTTTAGGGCTGCAGGTATATCGGCATTACTAGACGCTGGTGAAGAGAGTGAGGCAGGTGAGTAGGTTGTTTGGCTGGGCTTTCTCGAGTCGCTCTGCTGAGAGCTGTTGTTCTGATTCCATGATTGATCCTGTGCCCTTCGGTCGTCAGGGTATGGCAGTGGGGATACCGATGGCTGAGCGGTACCCTGACGGTCTGGTTGGGGGTTCGACGAGCTGCTGGGAGCAGGTGAAGGAGTGCCTCGTTTTGCAACTCGAAGAGGCGAGACAATCGGCTGTTCATGGCAGGAGGGCGAGTTTAGGAACATCTCGTCCCCTTCTTTGCCGGTATTGTGACCAGAGCTCATTGCGCTTGTCTCAGAGAGTCATCGAGATCTATCAACAAGCACTTTATGCAGCCTTATTACACTTCAGCGCAAAGCAACTCCTTCTGATAGATGTAAACCGCCAGCTGCTGCTGCCACGGTTCGGCGGGGAAAAACAGTCCCACGTTAACTAAAGTGGGGAGAAGAAGGCTTGATGCTGAATAGATGAGAATGTCAGGTCACTTTGAATATGGTTATCTTGGAAATGATGAAGAAAGGACGGAGGGGGGTGGATGTATGCCAGAATATCAGTGTCAGCCCTCAGCTCGACGAAGAAATTCTCCCTCGACTCTGTCCCCTCCCTCCCCTGGAGCTTCGTGTGATAGATGGCCAAGTTAATGCCAAGGGTAAGAGCTGGCGGCTACACAGGCCGCACACGAGATGATTGGGTCCTCGCCGGGAGATTGGTCATGGCCCAACGTGAAACCTGACGACTTGCATCTGGGGACAGCGATTGGCTCAGGGAAGAGGCCGTCAGCCACCGGCGGGCCACGCATCGACGTCGCAAGCCCCCTTCATTCGTCGGCCGTTCAGGAGCAGGCCGCCTTAGCGCCGGGAACCCTGCAGACATTCAGCATGCACCTTCAACAATGCGATGTTGGAAGATCTAAACTGCGGAAGAATGTCAGCGGTTTTTCAGTCGAAGTCAAGGTAGACTTTGAGCACTTTCTAATCGGGATAAATAACCACGGAAACGCTCACAGTAACTGTTGAAGAACTCTTACATTCCTTTCTCCTATTCGATGGGTATTATTCCCGTGTGGAGAGATTGCCAGTTCCGTTGATTCGCTTGGTAACTAGTGGTATCATCGAGCCTTGGAAAAGTTCGTTCACTAGTGAGTTAACTTGTCAGTGGCTGAGGTGATAACTGGATGAACATCGAATGGCCATACAAAATGATCACATCGACCAGCAAGCCTCAGCCACACAAACTGCACAGGCTGCACAAGCCATTCTGGTCGGGCTGTCAATACGATAGCCGATAGTGTCTTTTCATGTGCACGACATGTAACTGTTCGTTTGACCATCCCTCAGCAGCGGTTCGGGCCTACAATGGCCCTTCAGTCCGTTTCGAGTGCTCATATATGGCAGTGTCCTTGCCTGCTGGCCAGGCCCTGCTTTCTTGTGCAGTCTCCGGTATGAATTCCAGAGACGTCCAACGGCCTTGATTGAATCCGAGCATACACATTCCTTGTCCGCTCTTGCGAGAAAATGTCTTGAGCGCCAATCGACTTATGTGTACTGGCCATGGTCTAATTGGACTCTTGGGGCAATAACGAGTTAATAGTGCGAAATAATGCCAAGTCGATAGCCATTGAGGCTCTGAGGAGCTAAACAGCCTGGGACATCTAGTAAGATGTTTGGTTTGCATCAACTAAGGTCCAGACACAAGTGGAGGCCTTAAAGGTTCGAGATTGGAACATATTCAATGAACAATAATGAATGAACCATGAAAACAAGGGAATGTTATACAAAAATAGAGTCCAAAATGCTTCGCTCCTATGCCTAAAATTACCAGTAATTCAAAACAGGTACCACTAACACCAATTGTGCACAAATGCTATCAGAGGCTTAAGGGGGAATAAGTCAATGAAAAATCACAAATAGGAAATGAGAATAATGAGATATCGGTTATAAACCAAAATTAACCAACTGTAGTCCCTGTTTAGCCATGATATCAAGCCAGTCAACGTCAAATGCATGGCCACGTCTCATATAGGCGTTTGTTTGATGCTGATATACTGTCTGCAATAACTGACGAGTAGTGGCAACATTACGGCCAACTCCCTCGTTTGCTTCGAAATTAGACAGTATATCGAGTGCTATCATCTTATGGGTAGGCGAAGTAGCGGCTACTCCAGCAATGAAGGTAGGGAATATGATAAATCGAAGATCGTACCTGCCCATGCTAGTGATCTCATTGGCAATGGAGAGGATAGCCGATATGCGTTGGTCAATGTCCAAGGCGGATATGGCACTGGTCTCCGCGGCTTGGTTGGGCCACATGCTGATATAGGAATATACCATGCAGCTATTGAAGAGTGTTGAGCACTAAATTGGAAGAGACATTAGTATGGTCTGTAGGTAGAAGCCCAGGTAGGCGAGAAGTGTGAGAAGATAGAATTACAACAAAACAAAACACAGACGGGACTGTTCACATGAATGGAAGAGATGGTGGGGAAAGTGGAACGTACGTGTTGAAATACCTCCTTTGAACGGGGAGGCAATTGATGCACTTGTTGCTGGAATAAAGATACTCGGGGTGTTGTCCATAGCTGGATGAAAGATTGCTGAATATCAAAAAGTCGCTTCTCTTTGGCAGCGCGGCCCAGCAAAGTACAGCCGATTGACCCGTCTGGAAAAGTCTGGGATACGGTATCTCGTCGGCAGTCAGCAGCAAGGATACCAAGTCTGATAGCAAGGATAAAAGTATCTCGATTTAGACGAAGCATCACTGGGAGAGTGTGCTCTTCTCCGGGGAAGATTATGCTTTTTCCATCTTCACCGATAGGGTATAGCTGTGACAGAGCGGCCGGTATCATATCGTGAGCTAGTAAGTTACGCACAAAGTCACCCGTGCCGGCTCCGGTGAACAATGCATATAGGTCGATCCAACAGATCCACCAAACGACAAAAGGAAATGGCTCTCTTTGCAGTATTGCACCTCTCATATAGCAAATTCGTATTAATCTCTGGATATGATGAGACCACAGATTTGAACCGCCTGGCTCTGCAGCAGCAATCTAAATATGAAATACATGTAAGTACATCGAAGTTGGCCAATGTGGAGAAAGATAGGGTGAGATATATGTACCTCATATATTAAGAGAAGAAAATGTGTCAAAAATACTCCATCTGACGATAGATCCTGATGACTTCTCATACTTGTTTGGAGAAACGGAAGTGTTTGTTGGTAGTGCTGCAGTGAATCTATACTCTTTGACGGATCCTGGCGAGATAAGCTCAAGGCAGAAACGGCCATCATTGCATGGAAAAGCTAATAAAAGAGCATTAGTTATCGGTGTTTGTACATAAGTTAAAAACTTTTTAGGAACTCACAGGTAGAAAGTTGGCTGCTTCCTTTTCAAAGATATCAGCCCCGGGCATGTTGATGTCACTAGCATGTGCATGGTTATGTCCGAGCCCCACTTGAACGAGATGCTTCCATACGACATTCCTGAAATGGCCCAGTAACTTTGCATCCTCCAAATTGCCGGTTGATCCAATGAATATCGGGTGTTTTGGTTTGTTTGCGTCCGTTAGGTGACTATCCTCATACTCTTCAGGCGATTTGGATCTGGAAGTTACAGTCAGGGGGGATGACCGCATTGATTTCCAGTAGCTTGTATTCAAAGCCATGGAGTCTTCAAACTTCGCCAATATCACGACGTTTGGGTCTGACGATTCTGTAGATGACCGAGGTCGAGACTTGGAAGTATTTCGTTTATGGGAAGCAGATTGGGAAGGCCTGACAGTCCTTTTTATTGGAGGGAGTTCGTCTTGGGAGTCTTCACTGTCGTCTGTGAGATTTGCGAAGCTATCCGGGTTCACCACGACATGATACGTTCCAGGACGATAACACTCCGCTTTCATTTCCCGCTCTATATCTGTAGTCAATGATGCAAAGGGAGGGAGAATGTCATCGCTAGTCGAGCTGGTAGTTGAGCCGGAGCTTCCTTCTGAAGGTGAGGAAGAAGATGCTTATCTGGAGTGTTAGCTGCGCAATATCAATTAGATAACAGAAGATCGAGCGTACAGTCCCAAACGGCATTTCCAGATATAGAAACATCTTGCATCCTTTCCATGACCTTCAACGTATCGTCTCGGAACGAAAGCCTTGGACTATAGTCACATTCATGGCCCAACCGAGTGCATTGCTATCAAATCGATTAGGACAAGTATACCAGCGAAAATAATTTTGCGAGGGTACTTACACCACATTTTGGATGGCCTTCGTCACATTTTACTAGATGGAACATTAGCAGTTGCGAGTGAGAATATAAGTTGACGCAGCTCCTCACCTTTTCGCGCCTGTGGATGAAATAAAAAACCAGAAAAGTGAGCATTTCTGAGGTTTATTTACATAACGAAAGGGGTCAATAGGGTGATAGTTACCCTACAAGTCCTGAATTTTCAGAAAATGATTAGACAAACTGGGTGAATTGCCATACGCAAATGCAACGGGGTTCAGATCCTGCTTACCAGCAGCCTGTTTTTGACCTTGGAGGTAAACGTACCCTTGTCGGCATTTTAAGCTTAGAGGGTTCCAGGTCCCATCCCCTGTCTAGACTTGACAACTTGGGCATGCCATATTTTGGAGCGATTGGTGGCAGTGACTGAGAATGTTTTGTTGAAGCCATACTAAACGTATTGTTTTCTCCTTCTATTGAAATGGACTCTCGGTTGGATTGACCGTAACTGCTGCCGGACTGTAAATGGATGTATTTAAATGGTGCAAAGGAGGCGTATGATTTTGAGCACTGTGAGTGAAAGTGGATTGGGCTTGTGCATGTAACGGTAATTTCCCTATATATAGCTGTCGCCCTGCCTGTGAGGTAGCCCCTTAACGGTTTAGTGGCACCGGTCGAATTGTTCAAAGACGGCAGTACCATGAAAAATCAGATACTGACCTGGTAAGTGCCATCGAGGGAATAAATTGCGTAAGAAGGCAAAAAAGGACAAAAAATGAGGATATGGATGTGGCGTTGCGACTCCTTCAAATATGTCAACTGTCAGAATGCAGAGTAGCATGAGTTTAGGACACTTCCGTGATAGCCATGATAATCACAAAAAAGTTCCACTAGCTGGTGTTGTAGCATAATTTGGATGTCCCCGGCGGCGTCCGTTGGTCTACGGAGGGAATGGTTGGACGTTTTGAGGTTGTAGTTTACAGGTTGACCTGTAGACCACGCGGACCATAATGACCTTAACCCACAAGCTAATCGCCAGCGAAACGCGCTTACGAGCTAAGCATCCGAATAAATATGCAAGGTAGCTTTGAACCTGGGGTATTTTGCTCTCTGTAGTCGCGAGAGCCTTGCATACGCTGTGCCAAGCGGCAATCTCAGGACATAACTGCAGCAGTAACTAACTGAACAGAAGCGAACAGAGCCGATAGCTTTCCGAAATTTAGCCTTTACCAAGGAGAAATGCTTCTTCGCTCTGATTCTTTCTTGAGGTTCCGTCAGTAGGACCCAGTGATGGTAAAAGAAATGTCCGCTGGTTTGAATGAAAAGAATACGAGCAGCCAAGTGTGCTGCACTTCGCAAGCTCGTCCTAAAATTCATGCAAGGGCACCCAGACTCGCTCGCTACCATCATCAGGGCCTGGTCATGATTGACTGGAGGAAGGGGGGCTTTGTTCATGCTGGACTGCTACTGGGAAGCCCTTGCGTCCGTATGCCCGTAGAAGACAACCGCGCTAGTTTCCCTCCGTCTTGGAGAGGTGACACTTCACCACAGCCCTGTTTCGCTGATGCTCTCTATGGCTCCATCATTATGCGGGTAGTCACAGCTCTTGGGCTGCAGAGCCAGGGTAATTTTGGGCGAGCAAGGAGCAAATCCGATCTTTTTGCTCTCAAGCTCTCGTACGCACGATCGTCACGGCCAGGCCATGGGCCAGCTCCTTCGGCGCACCAGACAGCTGGTAGAAGGTTCTACAAACCGTAGAGATGCGTCGGGTTCCGGCTGGATATCCCGATGGATTAACCCAGTCGTCTGATCTGTTGTTTCACTTGGTAGATGGTAACCAAATGGTGGAATCTCGGACACTGCAGAGCAGAGGAGGAAGATGTCGCTGTCGCGGTCGTTGTTGTCGTTGGAACAACCAGAAACGGACATTTTTACTCAGCGGCGTCCCGTGATCTGCAGGAGGTTCCAATCTTGATGGTGATAACGTCAAGCAACAGTGACAGGTCGAGTTTTACGATATGACTTCTATGAAACCCTCAGGGGAATATTCCGTGTATGAGAACGGGTCTAGGAACAAGTGCTGGTTGTGTATATTTTTTTTTTGGGTAGCAGACATGGCAACTCCGAGACACATGGCCATTCTGTAATACGGCGCTGTTTACTCCGGAGAACTCTTGCATGCAGCTCGTTAGGCAGCATTAACTACTCCTAAACAAGAGGAGAGCTGCACTACATTCGGCAGGAGGATAGTCTGCTGCCTTGGCCAGTTGATGAACAACTGTATCATGAATCAGTTATAAGTCATGCTGTGTTTTCGTGAGTTGATGATGCCCTGCCCCTAACACTCGATACACTGATACTAGTTACACCTGCTCAAGAATCTCGTGCCAGACAGCTTTAACTGATTCAGACCGCTCATTGGCCTTCCACTTCTCGATCGCACACTTCTGGGAGGTGTCGAGTGGCAAAGAACTCTTCTTCAAGATTTTGACGTACGCCAAAACTGCCTGGGCAAATTTGCTTCTCACACTCTCGATGGGTAGATCGATGTCCTGGAACAAAAACTCATGTTCTTTGAACAGAGTTGATGCAAGTTCCTTGTCTAGGAACATAGGTGTCGAACCACTATCCTCCTTCCTGCCACTGAGAAGGCGTTCATCGACGCGATTGAAAAGGTCCTTGACACAATCAAATAAAGTAGGGTATACGGATCTTCCGGAATGTGTAATTACCGGCTTGATTACGGATGACATACCAGCAAGATAATGACCGAGAACTATTGGATGAGGTTGACATGAGTTACTAGGTGTGATGCTTTATGCCTGGTGTATGGACTGGACGTACCTGACGATGAAATGTTGGGGTTTGCAACATTATACAGACACTCTATCCCTGCAATAAATGTTTTGTCTTCAATGCTACACCAGTAATAAGATTATTAGCAGGTATGAGTGTGACGGTCATACGCAGAAGGGACTTACTTTGGTACTCTGCTGTCTTTCGAATCGATATCCATCTTATCACCTTTTACTTCTTCGACCATCTCCTCAAAAACAGGGGATACTATAGCCAGGGTTTCTTTCGTCATATCAAGATCCTCTAAATTCCTAGCAAATTGCCCAAGCCCTTTTAGTCCATGAGGTCTGTAGTCAACATTCTTCCGTTTGGCCTCTCGGATGACAATGGTCTAAATTCCAGTCAATAAATGATCCTTCCGAGCATAGTCTGATGCATCTACTGACCTTCATGCGATCCTTGATGTCACTTTGCTCCTTCAAGAACTCCTTGGAAAGACTCGAAAACTTAACAAAGGCCTCCAGAACTTTGTCTTTCCCGTCCCAAGTTTTCCCTTCAAGTGCCTTCTCAAGGTGTGGCCAGAGAGATCTCGCCGTCGGAATATCCATATTCTTGTCAATGGAAAGGACTGCTTTGGCGACAGTAAGCGCAGATGCGTGCTTGATTGGCCATTGGGGGGAGTCCAACTTTGTTGAAACAAGGTCGAGTATTTCATCAAGGTACAACGAAATAACTCTAGAGCCGCTCACATTATCATTCCATGTCTTGGTAAAGAATTCCTTAACCTCATCTGTAGTATCGTGCATTCCGAGGAATATAAAGGGTAAGAAGGCCGCTGCAACTGCTTGAACTCTATCGTTCGCCAATTTGGACATGGAATTCATGATTTCACCAGCAACAATGCGGTGTGCTGTATCTTCCGATTCGAAATAGAGTGATTTTGCAAACTTGATGGTATCCAGGACATCTTCATTGCTAGCCAAGCGAGTAAGGTAACCGATAGTAGAACTGTAGGATGCGCTAACAGTCTCATTCCTGTCTAACACCAGTTTCCTCAAAATACGGATAAACCGAGCTGCGTAGGGCTTAAATAGTACTTGCTTAGAACTGAGAATTACTAAGACTCTGCTGCAGCCCACTTTCGACGGGAGGCCTATTGCAGAGCGTATCGAAGCCTCTAAAGCAGGAACCACTTCAGCCATACTCTCATCGTCAAGGGAATCGAGGAGATGAAGCTCGATACATTCCATCATGGGTGAGCTCCGGATAGCCGTTAACCTCATTTTGTCAATAGCCTGACCCGTTAATCCATATTTATCAGCATTCAGGTGGACATAATTAACGGCCTGGGGCTCTATTGATGTGAGCGATGTGAGAAGTCGCTCCAAAATAAGAGCTGCAAAAGGCCTAATCAATGGTCCTGGCGCTTTCTTGACGATCTTCGTGATGGTCATGATTGAATATTTCTGGACCCCTTCGACACTGGACTCAATACCTTCACGTCCAAGCAGGAATGGGATAATATGCTTTAGCATGAGTTTTGCTCGTTTTGACGAGGTGTCACCACTCTCCATGGCACGTAAAACAATCTCACTAAGGGTTTGACATAATGACATTGCCGCCTGCCGTACGGTTGACTTGATATCATCAAGAACTTTGAACGATTTTGTGAGGATTTCGCTCAAGAACTTATCATACTTTTCGATTTGGCAACCCTGAAGTAAGGAGGCAATACCGGCACAGGCAGCCTGCCTCACCCGCCATTGTTTCCCATCCACGACACTTCGTAGGAGATCTTCCATAATTGCGTCAAAGTTGGCGTCAATGACTGCATTTGGATCTTTAACGAGGGCATTCCATATATCATTCATTGACCTTTGTACATTG